AGCATTATTGTACGATCTCATTTTGTAGGATAATCATTATTACTGATTATATTTATAATTTATAGGCATAGAAACATCCTGGAAACATAAATAGCAAATGGCTAACAAACCTCTGTTCTGGTTATCTATTGCAGCATAGCAAGCCACTCCAAAACTTAGAGGCTTACAACAACAACTTATGATTATTTATCGTGGTTCTTGGGCTGGCTGGGCTCAGCGGGGTGGTCTTCCTCGGGGGCTCGCATGCAGTGGCCCCAGGGGGCAGCTCCGTGGGGCTTCTATTGAGCTGGACATCCGAGATGGATATGAGCTGACCTGGGGCTTTCAACCGAAGTCACTACACGCAGCTTCTCCAGTGGCTTGGGCTTCTCAAGCTGGGTTCCAAGAGGGAACATCCCAAGAGCAAATATTCCAAAGGCCCACTTGTGACCTGCCATGCAGTGTCACTCCCGCCATAATCTGTTGGTCAAAAGTAAGTCACAGGACTAGTTTTAACTCAAGGGAGAGAGACTACACAAAGGCAGGAGTATCTGTGGCTCATAGGAGGCCATGTACGAGGCTAGATACCACATTATCTCTGAAAATGGGACTTGAGCAGACTTCCACATTCTAATTTCTAATGTAGTAGTTAAATATATAAACTCAGGAGACAAAAAACCTGGTTTAATGTCCTGGCTCACCACTCGCCTGCTGTGGGACTTCAAACAAGTTACTTAACCTCTCTGAGCCTCGATGCTCTGAAATAATAGTACCAACCTTACAGGATGGTTGTGAAGATTAAGTGAGATATCGTGGGTAAGATGCTTAGAATGCCCTGTTCATATGAGTGCTCCATAAAAGTCAGCTAATAATAATATTATTACACACTGACATAAAATGTTTAATTTTTTATGCGTTTTACTTTCGTCATTGAAAAAACAATTTTCAAAGACCAAGAAAAGAAAAAGAAACGTAGCTGAATTAAGAGAAATTCAGAACTCCCACTCAGTGTTCTGTTCCAGCTGCAGGGACCTCTTAATCCTCACGGGCACAGAAATGCCTCTGGAAGAGCTCGAGCCTCTCCCTCTGCGCCAGCAGACCATTCAGCGGCGGGCTCCGACCGCCCAGACTTTATTGTTCTCTCAGCCACTCTCCGAATCCTCTGGAGCTCGAGCTGCACAGGACAGGAGATGAATTCCCCCCAGAATAGAACCAAGAAGCTTTGCAGTCACGTAATACGTGCTTTCTGTTACCCAGGAGCTTCGACCTGCCTCGCCCTCACCACACCATTGACAGAAAGGATTTGCTTTTGAGAAGCATTGACATTTTGATCGTGAAGTTCCTTGGGGCTCGCTTGGATGAGACTGGTGGGGTTTCCACAACCACAGAGCCTTGGGCCAGTTCGTTTGAGAGAAAAGTTGAAAAATGGGATTTTTCCGCAGCGAGGACTTAGATTTTCTTCGCTTTTTCACCCATTATAAACACACACAGACCCTGTCAACGTCACCCCTTGTCTTGGGGGAAAACGTGCCACGGTGGAAAGGAAAGGATTTTTTTGATGCGGGGAATTACAGCAAATATCAAAATTTAAGAGTTGAACACTCCACCTTCTCACTTCTTTTTCAGAAAATCAAGACCCGGGCCCGTCCCGCTCCCCTCTGGGTCTCTGTGCCTCACACGCCTCTCTCACTCCAGCATCTCCTAAGTGTTCTCGACATCGCGTTGGGGGAAAATCTCCCTCTGCAAAAGAAATGGGAAACTCAGGGTCTGCGGGTTCGTTTCTCAAGAGAGGCAATGACTAGAAACTTAAGGAAATGTCAAATATGAATACCTAGCAATTTCGCTGGGAGCTGATGACTTGTCTGACTTAAAGTGTTAATCAGACGGTACTGGAATATTTTTAAGGAGGTCGGATGTGGAAGATTTTTAGCATCACCCTTCAAACAGGGTTCACCTGGGGAGTAAGAGACAGTGGTGAGAGTCACTCTCTGCAGAATATATATATAACCCTTTTTCTGCGGAGACCCCAGCATTTATTCATTCCTGCCCTTTTATAGGCTCGGGTGGGACAGGGACAGGAGAGAGCGTGTGGGCATTGTTTAAGGAATAGAAAAAAGAGGTTCTGAGAGATGACGGCGCTTTTCTAAGTCAGGGGCAACCCCGGGAGCAGGTATCCCTTTCCTCCAGCTGAGAACACTTTCCTACGACCAAAAATAAAGCAGAACTTGATACGCCATAAAGTCAGACAGAGCTAGAGTCACCCTCTGGCTCCTCCACTTCCTCAGTATGTGGCATTGAGCAAATTACCTAAACAACCCAAGCCTCGGTTTCCTCATCTGTAAAATGGGGGTGATTATAGGACTGACAAGAGGCCTTCGCACTGTTGCAGGAATACCAAGCTCGTTCCCGCCTCAGGGCCTTTGCACGTCCCATTCCCACTGCCTAGAATTCTTTTCCCGCAGATCTTATCATGGCAGATCCTTTCTCCTCATTCTTAATTGAACTCAAATGTCATTCTTCAGTCTGAAAAAAACACTCTCCCATCAATTTGTCTCATCCTTTGGTTTTATTCTGTATAGTATCACTATCTGAAATTCTCTTGCACATTTTTGTGTTTATTTATTGCCTGTCTCCCCCACTATACTCTAAGCCCCATGACAAAAGGGAACTTGTCCTTTTTGTTCATCCCTGCATCTCCCACACCTCATACAGTGCCTGCCACATAGTAAATGCTCAGTTAATACTTGTTGAATGAATGGACTCTTGGTCAATAGCCAACATTCACTGAGAACTTACCACTCGCCAGACCCCGTTCTAACCACTTCATAAAAGTTATCTCACTTAATCTTCAGAAGAACCCAATGATGTGGATATCCCTATGAACTTCATTTTATAAAAAGGGAAACTGAGGCACAGAAGGATTGAATAAATTTGCCCAGAGCCAAAGAGCCAGTAATAGTAGAGCCAGAACTGAACCCCCAGCAGTCTAGCCCCAGACTCCATACTCCTAATCTCTGGGCTCCGATGCTCTTGGCTGGATAGGAAAGCATCAGACCTGATTTCACAGCTCGGTTCCATGAAGCTCTGACTGTATATGATTCGATCAAAGAAGCCAGACTTTTGACCCACACCCTCCTCCAAAGCCTTGCCCTTCACTCTGTCACCAGCAGCTCTTGTATCACCATGTGAGTTCTTGTTTCTCTCTTTAACTCAGCCACTTGCATGTTGTTTCTACATTCTCTGAGGGGAGACTCCGAGTGTCTGCAACACCAATTTGTATCCACCGTGGGCCCTGGCACACAAAAGGTGGATGCTGCATACTTCTTGAAAAGCTTTCTAAATGAATAAAACATTTTGGAACACTTTTCAACAGAACATGGCTGTTTAATAAAAGAGAGCTATGAAGTACAAAAATGCTTACAAAGCAAGTAGAAATCAGTATGTGTTCCTTGCCTTAGTGAACCCAGCCCTTCATGCTTCACCCACCTCAGGGCCTTTGCAGGTGCTGCCCCTTTGCTGGACACACTCTCCTCCCACATTTTTTGCCTCCTACTGCTTCTCCAAATCTCAGCTTGAACATCAGTCCCTCACCAAAGATCTTCCTGATCACTAGCAGCACTTACTATAGTTTCCAGTTATACATTTTCTTCTGTGCTTCTTCTGTTGATGTTTTTCTTGCCTTGTGTACTCTAAGCTCCATGAAGGCAGGACAAACTGTGTCTGTTTTGTTCAACATCTCCTCCTAGGGCATGGCTCATAGTAGGTGAGCAAAGACACTTGGAATGGGGGCCAGCCCAGTGGCACAGCAGTTAAGTGCGCACGTTCTGCTTCGGCGGCCCAGGGTTCACCCATTTGGATCCCGGGTGCAGACGTGGCACTGCTTGTCAAGCCATGCTGTAGTAGGCGTCCCACGTATAAAGTAGAGGAAGATGGGCATGGATGTTAGCTCAGGGCCAGTCTTCCTCAGCAAAAAAGAGGAGGATTGGCAGCAGTTAGCTCAGGGCTAATTTCCTCACAAAAAAAAAACCACTTGGAATGCATGAATATACTTTTGAAATCTCAGCTTTACAAATATAAAGAGCTTGGCTTTCATGGGCCTCTTTTCTTAAGTAGTGACTGAAAGTAAAGTGTACTCATAATTTTTCTTTATCGCATACAGTGTGCATGGTACCCCTACCCTGACTTGGAAGTATCAATATTGTGAGAGGTTTAGAGCACGGGTGTTGGTCCTGGGTTTGAATCCTGGCTAGTTAATATCATCGGTACCTGAACTCGCCACCACTTCAAAATATTATTTCAAAGTGCTTTGAACAAGAACATCTACCCAAGAGAAACTCTCACACGGAGCCGCCTCTCGTGGAGAGACATACCAGGGTATTAATACAGCAGTTTGTAACCGCAAAATCCTGAAACCAATTTAAATGCATATTTTTATATATGCAAGTAAATAAGAATAGATATAATTTATTTTTAAATTAATCTGAGGGTCATGATCGTCTCTGCTCCTTCAATTCCAAATCCACCTTAAAAAGGAGCAGTGCTAAAGTCGAAGTTCTAAAAAGGTTCTTAAGAGGCCGTTGAGTCTAGTCTCCTACCTGACCACGTGGAGCAGGAAAGGCCACCCCAGTCCCGTGTCCCCCATGCAGTTGGACAAAAGAAAGAGCACGGCATTTGGGATTAGGGAATCTAGGTTTCATTCTGTCACCAGGACTTCCTCTGTGACTCTAAGCAAGTTCCTCAAGCTCTCTGAGCCCTAGTTTCGTTTCTGAAGTGAGGACAGTGGCCACACCACCTGTCATGACTGTGTGAGGAGCAAATAAACTACAATACGAGCATAAAACTCTGTCAAAATCACATCCAGCTCTTTGTATGAGGTGCGACTTGTAGCACCGAGCCTGTCCCTCAGAAGCACTGGTTCAGTCCCTCTGACTGCCATGGGGCCGCCCAATAAGCCCGCGCCTGGGGCCCCCTGGTAGCCAGTGAAGTCATCTTGCTTCAGCAATAAACCCGATTCTCTTCTCCCCACAGCCAACATCCTGACGGTGATCATCCTCTCCCAGCTGGTGGCTCGGAGGCAGAAGTCGTCCTACAACTATCTCCTGGCGCTTGCCGCGGCAGACATCTTGGTCCTTTTTTTCATCGTGTTCGTGGACTTCCTGCTGGAAGACTTCATCCTGAACATGCAGATGCCTCAGGTGCCCGACAAGATCGTGGAGGTGCTGGAATTCTCCTCCATCCACACCTCCATCTGGATCACCGTCCCCTTAACCATCGATCGGTACATCGCCGTCTGCCACCCGCTCAAGTACCACACGGTCTCCTACCCGGCCCGCACCCGGAAAGTCATCGTCAGTGTCTACATCACCTGCTTCCTCACCAGCATCCCCTACTACTGGTGGCCCAACATCTGGACTGAAGACTACAACAGCACCTCTGTGCACCACGTCCTGATCTGGATTCACTGCTTCACGGTATACTTGGTGCCCTGCTCCATATTCTTCATCTTGAACTCAATCATCGTGTACAAGCTCAGGAGGAAGAGCAATTTTCGCCTCCGTGGCTACTCCACCGGGAAAACCACCGCCATCTTGTTCACCATAACCTCTATCTTTGCCACGCTCTGGGCCCCCCGCGTCATCATGATTCTCTACCACCTCTACGGGGCGCCCGTCCAGAACCGCTGGCTGGTGCACATCATGTCCGACGTGGCCAACATGCTGGCCCTTCTGAACACCGCCATCAACTTCTTCCTCTACTGTTTCATCAGCAAGCGATTCCGAACCATGGCAGCCGCCACCCTCAAGGCCTTCTTCAAGTGCCAGAAGCAACCCGTCCAGTTCTACACCAACCACAACTTTTCCATAACAAGTAGCCCCTGGATCTCGCCGGCCAACTCGCACTGTATCAAGATGCTGGTGTACCAGTATGACAAAAACGGAAAACCTATAAAAGTATCCCCATGACCCCATAGGTTTGGCACCTAGTGCCTCTGTCTAATCCATTTCCAGATGGGAGGGTGGCCCATCCTAAGGCTGAACAGCTCTCCTTAAGAGTGCTAATCTGATTTCCTGTCTCCACAGACTGAGCAACTCTCAGACTGGTAGATGAGAGAAGATGGAAGAGAAGAAAGAAAACCATGAATCTTGTTTCCATTGATGCATTTATTTTCACAAAGTCATGTTGACAGCAAAAGTTCCTACCAGTTTGAAGATGCCATTTGAGCTAGTGTCATCATCCTGTGGTCAGTAGGGACACACAGTAGAGAAATAGCGTGTGGCTTAGCCTCGGCACCATCTACAGTCACTGGGAACTGCTCATTTGTGTGACACACCAAGCCACAGTAGCACGTATCTGAGCCCACACTCTTCTTCCAAGAGCTGAGGTCATGCATCACTTCCCTGTGCTGTTCTCAGCAGTTAACTGCTGACCAATTCTGGATTTTTCCAAGGTGCCCTTTGTCCTAGAGAGGGCTGTGATCTTGAAATAGCCCTGGCACCCCTGGCTACAGAATGACACTGTGGGGACAGGGGAGTATTGAATCCCATTCAAACTCTGGCCAGGGTTTCTTTGGAAAGGCTTCAAACCAACATAACTCAGACGTGGGGGTCTACGATGTGGTCTCTCTATTCGCCATCATGTATAGATTTTATCTATCTCCTCCAAAACAAAGACCCTGCCTGGTGCATGGCAGGAAAGGAGGATTTCTTGAGCCCAGAAAAACAAAAAAATAAGCCCACTCTTGCCGTTGTTTCGATCCATCCCCATGTCAGCTGCGCACAATCCTTTTGCTCAAAATAGCTTCTTCTTGCGGTGCCACTCAAGCTTCCTAGAGAAGCCTTTTACGTGTAAAGTTGCCGACCCTGCCTCCTTGCTTGCTGAAGCCCTCACCAAATTGTTTTATTTAAAGTGACTTCCGAACTGGATCTAATTTTGGAGGGTCAGGAACTGTAGCTTTCCAGATGTGAAGGGAGGCATTCTCAGTTCTGCCCCACATTCCAGCTGGCGTTGCCATTCGGCGGCAAATGCAGACACAACTGACATGGACAGGTGCCCACGTGGTCTGCTCATCTGCCCTTTGATGCCCATGGCTGAAAGGGTGGAGCCAGTTTTTGGTGAAGGTATTTAACCCACATCCTTTGCAAAATGATAAAAGATTAATTTATTTAGTTATGCTCCCCTTGCCTGTCCAAAGCAAGAACAGTTAGTTCTAGGATATGATTAAAAAGGGCTTCCCTGGGAATTACCACTCACGTGTGCCCATGCACATAGACTCTTGATTATATTAGGCTCCTGTGTATCCAGTGATGTGTTTTGAAAGGGAAATCTACATTGGAGTTCCTCTTACTTAGGCTTTTTTGTTGTTGTTAACTTTCTCTCCCAGGTTCCCAGTGTTTGAAATCTCCCCTGTTCTGGAAGACATCTCCCAAAATGATTTGGGAATTGCATGATATTTTTGGTGACCAAACAAAAAGCAGACCATCCACCTGGAACACTTTGTTCCTCAGGTTGGATTTTGACTGTATTTTTGTTCCTAAATTGGAAAACACGTCTACCCTATTTAAGGGAATTTGCAATAAATGAGTGTGGTAGAAAAGGCCCCAGTGTAACGCCAGCCCCAAGCTTCAGCCAATGCCCTCAATGCTGACTCCATGTCACTTCAGGTCATATCAGTCCTGATGATCCTCATTCCTACTCCTTTTAAATGATTGCAGTAGGGTCTCGTTTTACCCAAAGATTCGATTCTAAAGTCGGTGCAAAATAAAGTCCAGCAGGAAGTCCTCGGGAAGGAGCCATATTGGAGACCATATTCTATCTCTTTAAAAACCTAACTCAGCTAAGTTTTTCTCCAGCAATGGAATAGGTTGCTGTTTCTTTGGCTGAGGACAAGACAGAGCTGGCTTGTGCTTAGGGACCATGTTGCATGACTCTACTGTATCTGAGAACGGGACGACCACACTGGGGCAGCCAGGTGCCCCCGCTAGCGGAGGTTCGTGGACGTTGTTTCAGGGACAAGCAGATTTGTCACACTCCCTGCAGGGCATATGCACATCGAGCGGAGCGGTGGGCAGACTCCCCCACACCCCTTAAATGGCATCTCTCTCTCATTGTTTCTTTTTTGCCCAGCACGTGCAGTCAAATACGTGTTCATTAAATGTGTGTATGATGCAATTCCACCACACCCCCTGATGAAAGAACATTGACCAAAGGCTACCTACACCGAATATATATATATATATATATATTTATATATTTATTTTTTTTTTTTTTAAATGCATAGCTCTGAAAAATGCTAGTTGGAGCTATCTGTGAATGCGGCACAGTGCAATATCTGTAAAGGTTAAGCAATTCCTTTCTGAGAATGTATGTAAGATGGAAAATATGTGTGTGGATCTCAATGCTCTCTGCTCCACGTTTTTAATTGTATGTAAAATTCATTGTTGTTGTTTAAAAAGTAAAAACTGGGTGTGAATTTGGAGTGTTTTCCTCATACACTCATTGATTACTTCTTTTAACAATGGAGGCTATATCAAGTAGTATTGTGATCTCTTTTCCTTTTGACTATATTTTATATTTTGATAAATAATATTTAAAAGAGGTCCGATTCTTGAAGGCACGCCAATGAGTTGTCTTCTGGTTAAGATGAATACAAATGCCTGTTGGGTTAGGTTGATACCTATGTCCTAAAAGTTGTTTCAGATAATCTGAGGACTTTTAACTTATTATTATTTATAGTAATAATAGTGGACAATAATGACAAGGGTCTTTTTAAAAAAAAAAAAACTCTTAAGCCTTTTCTTTCGGGCCAGTTTTGGAAATAAAGCCTTGAATTTTGAAGTCTGTCATGTAAACAGCTGCTGTTGATGGCACTTAAGCAATTGCCTTATCTCGGGGTTTTGTGACGCTTCTTACAAAGACTGTCACTAGCATCTCTCTGCTTGTGTGATTCGGGTCCTTGGTTGGACATGCAGTAATGCTACACACGTACACACTGTGTCTTTTTATTGAACAACTCAAGGACTAAAATGTCTCATAGGGAAGGAAATGAGGAGGATAACAGACAAATCATAAAAGACAGACCATGAGAAGGCATGAACTTCCATTTTGCAATTGGAAAAGATTACTTTGCACAGTTGGTGCCTACTGGTCCAACATGGGGGGGCCTATCTGAAGTGAATAAAGGACTCTCATGTTGGCTATTCCAGTTCAAAGAATGGAATAGAATGTTACCATAGAAAAACAGCAAATGTTCATATTTTCTTAATTAGATAATATATTGTGTCTGGACTTGTTTGTATTATAATAAATTCTAATATGGTGCACATTGGTGTTTGGTATCTGCATATATGTTCAAGCAATTGCAGAAGTCTGATTAAAATTTTTTAAATGAGCATCTTACTTATATTTTGTGCTGGTGCTGGAATGAGACCTGAGTCCCACCTGCCTCTGGGTTAGGCAGATATATTTCAGAATGTAAGACTGCTGAATTCTCTTCCTATAATCCTAAATTACGTGGCTTACTGGGTATCAATCTGAATTCTCTTCTGACCACATCCTCTACACGCCTTCGAGACAGTGATGGCTGTAATCATGAGAGGAAATCTATCGTCATGGCTAAGACCTTAGACTTTGAAGTCTGACGATCATGGGTGCATGTTCCAGCTCCACCATTTACTAGGTGCGTGGCCTTGAAGGAGTCCTTGAAGATCTCTGAAAGACTATCCTCATGTAGAAAATGGTATAAAAGTTAATTTTTTTTCCAGTTGCCTACAAGATAAGTAGAAACTCTCATGTTCAGGAAATCAAGGTTTGGAGTCAGTTATTGTAGGCTATAACTTTTCAGGCTCTGCCACTTTCTCGCTGTATGACCTTGGGCAATGTTCTCAGTCTGTCTGAATCTCAATTTCCTCCCCATAAAATAGAGCTAATAGTAATTCCAGTACGTGTGAGGGTGTTAGGCCCAAAGAGGTTAATGGTTTTGTCCAGAGTAGAACCCAGGTCACTTAACACTTCATCCTTGCCTCTCGACCTCATTGCCTTTTCCGCAAGATTCTGATTCACCCCTCCCCAAAAGGATCACATTATTTTTGTGCCCTTTTTAGAGCTGGGTATATTGCATAGTTTTCCGACTCTTCAAGCCCAGGTCATCCAAGCATGAGATATATTATAACAGCACCATAATTAAAACACTTAGTTTGACCTTTCCCAGTGAGGAAGAGTTTTTTTTTTTAAATTGACTCTATCTGGAATCCTAACCACAGCTCTCAATCTAGCTATGCATTTCCCACGCAAACCACCATCAATTCTGACAGCCACCCACAAACTATTGTCACAATCTATCTTTGCATCAACTTGGAGAATGAAGGTATTAAGTTGAGAAGGAAGTACAGAAAAGCAAAGAATTTGCTGAAAAGATCACAGACAGAAGCTTTTAGGCGTGGCCAGAGCATCCACATTAATTTTGTCCACAAACTCAGGGAGGCAGGATAAAAGTAAGTCAATGGTGGGGCTGGCCCCATGGCCTAGTGGTTAAGTTTGGGATGCTCTGCTTTGGTGGCCCAGGTTTGGATCCCAGACATGGACCTACACCACTCACTGGTGGCCATGCTGTGATGGTGACCCACACACAAAATAGAGGAAGACTGGCACACATGTTAGCTCAGGACGAATCTTCCTCAAGCAAGAAGAGGAAGATTGGCGATAGATGTTGGCTCAAGGAAAACCTTCCCCAGCAAAAAAGTAATTAATTAATTAAAATACAAAAACAAGTGATTTGATGGAGGTTGGACTATTAAATAATCCTTTTATTAGCGCACTTGGCTAGATGTGATGGTTCAGCCTCTATGGAGAGTGTGTAATTAATCCGCATACTTGCCAGACCCAATAAGGAGGATAAGAGGCTCGCATCTACCGGGATAAATAGACACTGTGAGTTTCCCAGGTTTATTGAGAGAATGTGTCACTGTCGTGTCAGAACAAGAAAAGGACAACTTTTCTGATTAAAAAGGAACAGAGCAGGGCCACAGGGAAGAGAGAGGCCTTCTCATCAACTCTCTGCTTAAGGAGCTAACAGGTCTATGGAGCTTTGTTACCCAGTGAATGGCAGTAACACGCTATTTCCCTCCACTGGAGAAGGAACCAGAGGGAGGGAGACCCAAACTGCAGGGTGAGGGATCCAGATCAAGCCCAAGGAAAACTCTTCATAGCGATGTCTATTAACTCCACAAATGGTTTTCTGCGGGAGTTCTTAGAATCTGCTTCTCTGGATATATTTCCAAATGGATTGTACATCAAGCAGAGTCTTGGAAGGAAGCAAATCTCACTCAGGTGGTTTCAGTGAAAAGACTTTAACCAAAAGACTGTTAAAATTGGTCTGAGCAAGAGTAAGAGAACCAAGAAGAGCTTCGAGGGCCCTAGGAACTAGAAGCAATAGAAAGCCTTACCTCCCTGGGCCTGATGGGGTGACAGGAGGAAACAGTGTTACTGCAGTCGGCGTGGGCTGTGCTTTGGAAGAGGGGCCTTCCAGCAAGCAGGTGCCGTGTCACTGCCAGAGATATGATGCCAGAGAGGAAAGGGGGTGCCCCAAATTCTCTCTTCTTTCCTTCCGACATCATACTGATGCCTCCACTGGCCAAGCCCAAAGAGAAGTCAGCCAGGAAGAGAGGGCAGGTGATGCAGTCCATAGTGCACACACCCCAAGGCACAAAACAACAAAAACTTGATCAAGGGTAAAGTGAGAGGGAGCGACTGCAGAATAACCAGCAAAGGTTAGATTCTTATTTACTGCGATTGAATGCTGGAGAGGATCTTAGAGATTATTTCACTCAAATATCAAAACAAGAAAGCCAAGGCCCAAGAGATCATCTTGCCCAAGGCCACACAATCTACATGTTGGTGGGTCCTTTTTCCAATGATTTTCTAGCACATTCCCAGAAACATATATTATAGACCTTCAGAGGATTGCTTTCCAACCTTCATCATGAGAAATTTCTCTTGTTAATCCTCAGCATCTCCAATGACCACACTGTCAACTTGAGCATGTTTAGGGATGGAAATGAAGAGGATCAAGAGAGGGGGTACTCATGTAACAACCACTGTGTCCCAGGCACTCCTATGGTCATTCACTTATTTGACTGCTATGTATTAAAATATACTATGTGCCAAGATCTATTCTAGGCATAGGGATTCGCCAGTGAACAAGACAGATAAGGACTCTGTCCTTGTGGTGCTTACATTCTAGTCAGAGAAACAATAAACAAGGAAGCCTATAAGATAATTTCAAGTAGTGATAAGTGCTTGGAAATAAATAATAATAATCTGCCTGACTGGGGTCAGGCAGAAGCAACATGAGATAAGTCAGTCAGGCAAGATCTTTTTGAGAAAGCAGCAACAGAACTGGAACCCAGACTAAAAGGAAATGACCATATAAAAAGCATTCCAGGCAAAGGAAACAGAAAGAACAAAGCCCTCGAGATGAGAATTACCTTGAGTGCTCATGCAACAAAGAGAAGACTAGTCTTGCTGAAGCATAGTGATCCTGGGGGGAAACGGTAGGGAAGAAGGCAGGGAGGGGCAGGCAGGAGCAATCATGTAGAGCTTTGTGGGGCCCTGGTGAGGAATTTGGTGGGAAATCATTGAGGAGTTTGAAGTAAGAAATTGATGTGATCTTCTCACCTCACTTAGGTGAGTGCTGTTACCTCCATTTTTCAGATGAGAAAACTGAGTCGCAAAGGGAGTAAACTAAGCTTTCTCAAGGTTGTAATGAGTAACTTAGGAGTTGTTACTTCAGCCCAGTTCTGTCTGGTTCCATGAGCCACCTTGACATGTTTTCATTGACATCCCACATTCTCTCTTCTGAATTAGCAGCCTGTTCCCATTAGCCTTTTAATCATCCAAGGCTGATATTTAGGCTAAAGCCATCCTCTAATTCCGGTAATGAGGAGCCAGAAATCATCAGGTCATAATATCCTAGGGTTCTATTTCATGACCCAATTCATGCATCTGATGAAATCTGGCAGAGCAGAGTATCAGATCCACAAGATTGTAGGTAAACTAATATGGACTTTACTAGCAGGTGAGGCATTAAAAAGGTCTACACTTTTAAACCTTTCCTGCACCACCTTCAATAATATTTTCAATGTCATTGTTTTGCAAATGCTTTTATACACAGATTTCAACTCTTGGTTCTACTCAAGCTTAAGCACCGGGTCCTTTGAAACAATTGCCTTGCTTCTGTCCAGGGTACTGAAATCATTTGGCCACAACTTCAATTTGAGGAAGAAAGGCAATATCTGTTAAAAAAATCTTATGTATGAATCAATTTCTTACTTAAAACTCCTCAATGGCTTCCCACAAAAGATTTGCTCCCCCCCCCCCATAGAGAAGAAACTGGGACAGCATTATTTACTTGATGGAACTATTTAAGATAGGATTTCTTACAGAAGCAAGTTCCACTAGGACCTTGCTGTGCAAACCATGGTCCACCTATCAGTATCATCACATTGGCATCACCTAGGATCCTGTAAGAAATATAGAATCACAGGTCCCACTCTAGCCTTCTAAGCCAGAAACTGAATTTTAACAAGATCCTCAGCTGATTCATACACACATTAAAGTTTGAAAAGCACTGCATTGCTGTTCTTTAAAACAGGGGTTTTACACACTTGGGAAGCTTTTGAAAATCCCAATACCCAAGGTGAAATCCACACAGCAGCATTTTTTAAAGTTCCACAGCCGAGATGGAGAACTACTGATTCTTTTAAAGAAAATTTTATATCACTACCATAAATGGAAAACTAGTATCACCTGCCATAAATAGATAGAAACTATTTTTTTAAAAGACCGAAGATTAGCAGTAATTCTTACCTTATATGACTGTCTGAAGCTGATATCTACTCTCTTTTCATTGAAAAACAAAAGATGGATGTTAAGGGCCCTCTACCACTATATCAAGACTTTCTCCTTAACCTAATCAGAAGGATTGATAGCCAATTAGAAAGGGAAATTTTTTCCTCAATGTGCTTCAATGTTACTGAAGCCAAGCCTCATGCCATCGAAACCCATTCTCATACCCCTTGTGTTGCAAACTCTATACTTTGGGAAGCACTGATTTATTAAACAAGGAGTCTTCAGCAGCTTCTTTATTTTAGTGATTCCCAACCTTAGGTGTACTTTAGACTCACCTGGAGGGTTTTTTTAACACCTGTATCCAGACTCTACCCCCAAATGAATTAAATCAGAACCTCTGGGAATGAACCCAAGGCATCAGAATTTTCTACAACATTCCCAAGTGATTCTGCTCCACAGCCAGGATGGAGAAGCACTTGTCTCCTTGGTCACACTTGGTTGGCTGAAAGAACTGGGAAATTACAATACAACCTTCCCAAATACTCTGTCATTTGGCCATTTCCCTAATTCAGACTCTCCACAATTGGCTGAGGTTTCACAGTGTGTGCACTTCTCCCTGCTGAGAACTAAGGGAGGTGACAGATCATACCCATCTATCCCTTCGCTCTGGGTTTGGAACCAGTTGAGAAATAGCTTCAAGAAATGGATTGGAGATCAATTTTGGAAATTGGAGACTGGAGATCAATTTCCAGCTCTATTACTGGAAAGGTGGGTTGCAGAACTTTGGTTGAACCCCGAGCCAACGAACTTCCCATCCAGCCAGTTTAGATCTTGGCTGAAACACCCATGAGACAGTATGGAACTACATAGAAGACACTTGCCCAGGCCTCTGCAAGCAGAACTTCTGCCCCTGAATAGAGCCCTGTGAGCAACAACAAGCAGAGACGCGTGTCCGGTGTTTTAGCTGTAACTATCCTTGCTGTAAGCAGTGATGCCACAAACATTTTCACCACATAACTAGTTGGCCATAAAGGCAATTTTGCCGTAGAAGATAAAATAACTGATTGACAATTTTGGTTTCATTACGGTTTCTTTTGGTTACATTTGTAACATTTGAAACTGCTTGCGGCAAAGATGCTTGGGGCAAAACTACTTAGAACCTTAGAGATGGACCTCTGGACCCTCCTCTGGAAGTCAGGTCTGGACCACAACCGAGTTAGGGTTCCTGTATGGAAGAGGGGAGCATAAGAAGAATTCCTCCCTCCTGGAGGCCTGAGAAATAGAGAGGGAAGGGGGCTTTTTCACATGTATTTTAGATCTTGGCTCAAACCGGTGCCCGACCAGCCTGGTTTGCCTGGAGCTGTCCGGGTTTTAGTGCTGAAAGTCCCATAGCTTTGGATGTATTTTGCTCCTTCTTCCAATCCTACAGGTCAGTCGAGGCCTTCCTTCTCCACTGGGTGTGGAGTAAAAGAGAAGCATTGAGACAAGTCACCTTCCAAATACTTCTGAGAGGAAGATCAAGGGCTCCTAAGTTACGAGCTAAGGTAGAACTGTTGGAAAGAGTTTTCCCTTACCTGCTCATGACCTAGGGAATTTTACAGATGTGACTCAGGGAACTTCACAACCCACAAGGAGATAGACAGTCAGGTGTGCTGCACTGTTAAAAGGCTTAGAGAAAAGGCGGGAAAAGATTCTCCTGATCTTCCTGGTGCCTCACTGTCCTCAAATTAGGGTTATTGGGTGCCTCCGAAGGCATGTCTCTATCTACCTTCAGAGTCCGACATTCTCAGACCTGGTCTACTCATCTTGCCCAACTGGCACACAGTTCTTTAAAAGCTCTGAAGTTAAAAATAATTTTAACTGACTTTGATTAAAATAAGAACGTCAAATAGCATTTTTAGGAGTGAACAAAAGTGGTGCCAAAATCAGACACCTTCATAGCATTGCACCTCCCAAAGGCAGACTCCTGGTGCACAAGGCTTTGCATCACTCAGATCTGGATTCAAATCCTGACTCCACCACTTTCCAGCTGAGTGACAGGGGCCAGGTTACTTCCAGTCTCTGAGCGAGTGTTACATTATCTATAAAACAGGAGTAACAATAGTACTGACTTCAAAAGGGGGTGGTGGGAATTATGTCTAATATTTTCAAGTATCTGGAACATATTTGTATTACTAATAAGTTGTATTGTTATTTAGTTCTCTGTGATGGGGACAACAGGAGCATGGCACATTCCAGAACTTCTCTGGGAAACTGGGTCACCTTTGCAATGACGAGGCCACTCCCAGGAAGAAAGCGTTTAGCTATGTCATCTTCCAGCTCTTTCTTTTCTAAAGTAGAGAAAGCATATCATTCATTGCAGTCATCTGGTGACAGTTTCTGAAAAACACAGAGCATCAAGGATTTGGAAGACTAGAGGCAGGCCATCAGTCACTCCGTAGTCAGTTTCAATACCACAAAATGTGGCCTCTCTAGTTTTACCTTAATTCTTTCTCTCAGTTTGCATCTACTGTTAACCTCTGGAGCAAAACTTCAGCCTTCAGTGTGATGTGATAGCATCTGCCTAAAGGACACTTGCCCATCTCATTAGGGTCACTATCGCTTAGCTCCACTGATGATAAAAATGGAAATAGTCCCGCTAGTGGGTCAGGGTTGATGTAGGTGAGCTGTCTTCACTATGTCAAGTGTGTCTCCTGGGCCCTGAGAGAGGACACAAATATTCCTCAGCTGGAGCCAAGGGCTTCTTGTTATTGTAAATTAATCTTGTAAATATCTGATTTCTAAGAGGCTGTAAGGAAATGACTCCCTGTGGCTCTATGTGTGTGCCTCTTCGTGTATCTGATTGCTGGGGCATGGTGGCACGCTCTGACATCGCTGGCCCAGTGAGGTCTGCAAGGGAAAGGCCATAACCATGGGGGGAAAGGACAAGGTCTTCCCCAAGAATGAGGTCATCACAGCATCTGTCATCTGGGGAAGAAGTAGGTCATCAGACAGGGAAAAGGAAACAGGCTTGGGAAGGTAGGCGAGAGGGCTCAGCTTCTCTTCGTCTTGACTTGACAGTCTAGACGTCAAGAGTAGTTTTCCTGGGGATGAGACACCAAAGGTGGGGCTTGAAGTTGGAAGTAAAAGGACTGGGACAAGCTATTTTTCCTGAGACCTCATTAATGAGACAGGTCTGCCTGAGGAGGCAGCTCTCCCTCAAGTTTGACTATTTCCTTGAGGTTCTCTTTGCTAGTTTCCTGCTATCTGGGACGACACAGCAGCAGAAGTGGGAACTCCCTCCCCCAGAGAAGTAAGGTAGGATCAGACCTTACGATGAGAGAGATTCTGCCTGGGGAAGCAGCAGTACCTTTGAGAGATTACCTTCTCCCTTTGGTTTATACATATGTTGCTAGAGTTATAGAAGGATTTATAAAGGATGCCATCTTATCCCATAGTCCAGAAAAGGCTAAAATGTGTGATAATGCCCCAACCTCACCATTCTGTGGACACACAAAGAGCTACATTGAAAATCACAGTGTCCTCACTATGGACATTATGTTAATCATAAGGTCCTCAAATCTTTATCTCTCGCCCCAATGTGTTCACACAGGTCCCCCTTCAATATTTCTGGGCTTTCCTGCAGTCATCTCACATGTTCTCAGCCCGTCAGATCATCTCCACGTGGAGTCTTCCCCATTCCTCCTCTCTTGTCCCAGATGCCCCTTGTTGGTGTCTCCCAGTCACTTCAGGGAACCACACTGTTGCCACTACTGACAGAGGCCACCACGGAAAGGCCAGCAAGGAGCTAGAGCAGGGCCATAGTCCAAGTAGAGGTGGGAAACGGTCCCTCTTTCAGGTCAAGTCACCTTAGCACACATTTGGGAAAAAACGGATGAAGGCTCTGCCTGTGAATAGTCAGTTCATAGAATAGGAAACCTGAACGGCTAATAAAAATAAAAAGCATGCCCTAGTTCACTAAAAATCAGGAATGTGAACATTAAAACATCAACAATGTTCACACCTACCTGATTGATAATAATGGAAAGAAATGGACAATCTGAAGTGCTGGGCAGATATGGAAAAGACAAAGAACTCTGGTGAGGGTGAAAATGGATAGAGCCACCTGGAAGAGAACTTGGGCAACATACGGAAAAACTGGTGATGTATTACCTTACAACCAAAGATTCTATTTCCAGGTGTGTACTCCAGGAAAAGAATCTCACACTTGTGCTGGAAGAGATGAGTACAGCAATGTTTATTGCATCATCGTTGCATTAGCAACAACTCAGAAGCAACCTGTATGACCATCAACAAGAGAAGGATAAATAAATAGAATACTATACCACAAAGCAAACGAATGAACTAGAGCTACATGTGTCAATAAGGATAAGCCTCGAAAAGGGAACGTTAAAAGTTGACGCCTCTGTACAGTATGATTCCATTTATATAAAGCTTCTATGCATATATACATACATTTGCGGAAATAGTGTAAAAACATGAATGGAATTGCTAAATTCCAAATTTTTGATAGTGAATACTTTTTGAACAAGAGGAAGAAAATAAGAAGAAGACATATACACAAGGGACGGCAGCTCCACTGATATGTTTCATCACTTTAGAGGACCCTGAAACAAACAAGGCAAAATGTCAAGATATTGTATAGATGAGCATCCTTTCTATCTCCTATAACTTCCTGTGCATTTACTAGACTTTATAATAACATGGAAGACACACCCTAAAGTAACTCCCAGTGAGTCACGTCCTTATATAATCCCCTCCCTGAGTGCAGGCAGCACCCAAGACCTGCTCCTGACCAACGGAATATGGCAAAGGTGATAGGATGTCACTCTCGTGATTTCATTCCGTTATATGAGACTCTGCCTTAGCAGACTAGAGTGAGAGATTCTCGATGGCTTTGACAAATAAGCTGCCATGTTTTGTAAGAGAGTCACATGGCAAGGAATTGTGGGTGGCTCTTTGGGATCTAAGAGCTGCCCACATCTGACACCCAGCAACAAGCATGGGCCTTCAGTCATAGAGTCACAAGGAAAGGATTTCTGGCAGCAACTTGACTGAGGTTGGGACTGAATTTTTCCCCAGTCAAGACTCCAGCTGAGAACACAGCCCAGCGGATCCCATGACTACAGCCTTCTCAAACCCTAACAGAGGAGCCAGGTAAGCTGTACCTTCACTCCAGACCCGCAGAAACTGAGAACCTAAAGGCGCATTGTTTTAAGCCATTAAATTTGCAGTAATTTGTGACACAGCAGTAAAAGCTAATACGAATAAAATATTCACGAAAGGAAACAGGAGTTCAGAGGACCATAAAATTGTGATGTCATGATGTCCAAGTGTTAAGAAGGAAGTATTAGCTGAACAAATGCTCCCAAGTCCAGTGTAGAAGACAATCAAGACATCTCCTTTGGCTTCTGCAGCTTCAGGGCTGTGGGCAGGTCAGAAGCTGGGTGCCAGGGGATTGAGAAGAAAGGAGGTGAGGATCTGGAGACAGCTGGCCAAGAAGTCTGTCAGGCAGGAAGCCTGAGAGAGAGGGAGGCGCTCGCTGCATGGAGGCATGAGGCTGAGGGAGGTTTGCTGGTTGTGATGTTTTTATAAACCAGGAGAAACTTAAATAGGTTTACTTGGTGTCTCACAGTCTCTTACTCATAATGGGATGGTTTAGTATTCAGTGGCTCTCAACCCAGTCTGCACATTAGGACCATCTGGGGAACTTTCAAAGAGGCCCATAGCCGGTGTTTGTCCGTGCAATAGAATACTATTCAACAATAAAAAAAGAAACAAAATACCAATACATGGTACAACACGGATGAAACTCACAAACGGTATGCTAAGGCGAAGGAAACCAGACATGAAAGACCACATACTGTGTGATTTCATTTACATAAAATGTAAAAGAAAAATAGGAATTCTGTAGAGACAGAAAGCAGATTAATGGTTACCTGGGATTGAAAGTGGGAATGGAGTGTAATTGGAAACTTTTCTTCTCACGATTGCTTCATTAAATAAACTTTCTCAATTCATTTGTCCCCAAGTCCTGGCTCCTGGGGTCCACCCTTCTGATGGGGTGACCTCTTCTTGCTGGATGATCCTCAGGTGTGGCATACCTTGGAAGATGACTGACAGCCAGCTTCCTCCCGTGGGGGAGGCGAGAGCAACCTTGCCTGTGAGACTCAGGAGACACAAAGGCAAGCTTGCGTCACACTCTTCTTCTATCCAGCATCTGCGCCTTGGAGTTTTAGGCATGTAATGGGTAAGAGTTACTCTATTCCTCAAGTTTCAGGGGATATAATTTAACCTGTCCAAGAGAGGTTGGATATCCAAGATAGCCTATCAAAGACATCCAAGCAGATGTCTTTATCTCACTACCACCTGCCTTCTTCCTCAGGGTTAGAAAAGGAGGGAGAAACTCTTCAACGACCTAAAAACTCTCTCTAAAGACACTCTCACTCTTTCACTCTCTACTCTCTTCAACTCCTTTCTCCCCCATGGTTTGGAGGCTGGGATGGGCTAATTCTGGAAAATCCAATTTGGGGGCTGGCCAAAGTCCTCTCAAAAGAGTCTAGCACCTCGCTTTAGAAGATAAGGATCCCTGGCCCCCATTTCTCTCAGACTTGGGGACTCATCCAAAACTCTAAGAAGACTGCAGCTTCCACATCTGGAACCATCTGTTTCATCTCACGTTGGCTAACTGCAGCATCCAGACTGTGTGAGGACCAAACTGATTTGAGTGCTGTGTTTCTTCCAGGTAAAAGGCAGGAGTGAATGAATGTGTTACACTGAAGGGAAGGTGTGCTCAAGGTGCGGACAGAGAGCACAAAGGCACTGGGTTTCCACTCGGACACCGCTCCGGGTGGCTATGCTGTGATTATCACGCTGAGTGGATGCGTGCTGCTATGAAATATTACCATCATCCCCCAGCTCTGCTCATCCAAAACCTCACACCACTCCCACAGGACAATGCGCTGCCTCACCAAGATCCTTTAACACAGGCAAAAATCTAAGAGCTGGATGGGTCCGACTCTATATCCTGCGTGTGATCCAGATCTTCAACCACCAAGCTGTGGTTTGTTCTGGCCTGTGGCCACATTTCTATTCAGGAAATTGTTCTAAACATGTGACAAATTTGAAGCAGCCCGTTATCAGTTCTTCACCTAGAAATATGCACTGGTTCTTCTCTGGCATGGAGGTCAGCAAACTTCTGCAAAAGACCAGATGGTAAATAACTCTGACTCGAGGACTGTACCATCTCTGTCACAATCACTCAGCTTTGCCACTGCAGTGTGAAAGCAGCCATAGGTGATACACAAATGAATGATCATGGCTCTGTTCCAATAAAACTTTATTTGTAAAAACAAGCAGAGGCCATATTGGGGCCATCGGTTGTAGTTTGCCAAACCCGTGCTCTAGCAGACTGGACTGTTCGTCCAAAGGTAAGTGATCACTCTCAAAAAATAGGGGATATTTTGCCAAATAATCTTGTTTCCTTGGAGTCGTATTTATTACCCAATAAGTTATACATTTATAGGAAATAATGTTTGAGATAGCCTAATAAATGTTGGAAGGAAGGAATCAATACAGGAGAGAAGTAGAAAATGCTAGAAAGAGTGGGGATAATTGATGGACTGAAGACCCTGAGAACCCAGGAGGGGGGATTCCAGAGAACAGGTAAGATGCCCCTTGGACCATAAGAAAGGGAAGGAGGAGAGGCCGGGTTGGGAAGGAGGACTCCCCTTTGACTGGTGGCTTCTAAGACCACCTGCTGAGAGGGTGGTAGAAGGCAGGAGGCAGGAGAATGGAGAAGGTTTAAATTGTCGTGTGGACGATGGATGTGAGAGCTGAGCAGGGACGCGGAAGCCATGAGGACCAAGCACAGCAAAGCTCTGACTAACTCATTCCACACATGACACACGCCCCCTGCCACACCAGTGGTGGTAAGTGTTTAAACAGCTAGTTCATCCCAGGATTCAAGGACCCTGGAATGTCTAAGCAAGAAGGGACCTTAGAAATCAGGGAGGCTCCCCCAAATGAAGGATGGTTAGCACTAATGAGAGTGGAGATTGGTTTTTACATTGCGGCCAAAAGTGACATTAGATAATATCAACTCATATGGTAGGGGAGCACTTTCCTCCTCTGTTCTCTTCCTACCCTTCTGTCACCCCTTAGAGGAAGTCTCCGTCAGGCGCTGATGTGTCTCTAACACCTTCTCTACAATGTGCCATTTCCCGATTTAACAAATCATGGCAGGCCCCAGACTCAGTTTCCAATGGGCAACAGGATCTGAGGAGAACTTAATATCATGGGTTTGTTTTCCTCCTATTTATCTACACGGCTGTCTTCTATTTATGGCAATTGATTGATAATTGGCTTTTCATTCATGATACAAATATATGACATGAACATTATATAAATTTTCCTTTTAAAATAAGTTTAAAGTGAGTCATTTTAAAGAAAAAATAAATTAAACAAATAAGCCTCCAGGTAGTAGACAGATATGGCAAAATAGTGAAGGTGCCCTAAGAATGGGACACTACAGATTGGGGGAGCAATGCCAGAGAAGGAAAGCGATTTCTCCCAGATCATACAGCATACTAGGGGCTGACCAGGCCTCTCCATTCATGGTTTTTGGTCTTTCTGGTAAACCAGGCCTCACTCTCGTTGCAGAGGCCCATTATTTGCACTATATAGCCCAAAGCTGCGACCCTTTTCCTCTCCCTTCGCAGAGGCGCACATTGCTGACAGACACCAGTCAGCACGGTGGAGATGGGAGCCTTGTGCATCAGCTTGGCTTCTCATGCAGGAAAGTGCAGCAAGGCCCTGCCATCGCTGAGAAAGCAGCCAGCCAGGGCTCAGGGAACTGTGCGCCTGCTCTGTCCCAAAGCCTCGGGAAGCTCTGGCAGCACCGGCACTGATGAGAATACATAAGGGAGCTCGGGGAGGATGCCGAGAGGGAGAGGAGGGGCAGTGGGACTTGAGCCACATAGTATGGGTTCCCGGAGGCCAAGGGGCCAGACCCACTCAGAACTCAGGGGAGAGCCTGCACTGCCCGCATCCTAGATAAAAATTGCTGCCGTGCTGTAGGGCACGGTTTTCTCATCAGTAACACTAGCCTCATAGAGTGGTTAGGAGTTTTAAATGACCCTGTATGCATAAAGTGTTCAACATAGTCCCCCACACAGGATAAGCCCTTCAGCAGTGTAACTATTATTCCTGAAGGAGGAGGCAAGAGTCACTGGCAGGACTCTTACTTTCTCTCCCTCCCACCAGAACATTGAGACGCCCACCTCAGGGCCTTTGCACTTGCTGTTCCCTCTGCCTAGAACACACTACCCTTCATCTTCCCATAGTGGCCAACGTGCTCTCCAAAAGCCTCAGAGAAGCTTCCTGGCCCAGCTTCGCTGAGGTGGGGCTCTCCACCCCCAGCTTCTCTTCTATCCTGTCATCTTGTGTTATATCCTTCAGTCGTTTCCCCCTTCCCAACAATGCCCCGTGAATTCTGCAGGGGTTAACCCAAGACACACACGCACACGCGCGTGCACACAGACACACACGCACAGGCATATGCAGCCCCACGCGCTGCCCTTTGATTCCTCTCCCAAGGCAGGAATGGAGATGAAGTCTGCCAACCGTGCAGCCCTAATTGCATTTTCTTCCTGAAAGAGGGTCTGGTGCAGAACACCTGTGGGCCAGCGCTACGTGACAGCAAGGCTGTCGTGCAGGCAGTGGTGGCACAGACGGCGTGCAAATTCAGGGGCTCTGGGACCTGAGACACAGCCAGACCCGGCAGATCCCTGGGTGCCCCTCCCAGCCGCTGCCCCCACCCCAGAAGGGGAGCTTCCTGCAGGAGGCTGGGGGCAGTCAGGAATTTTGCAATTAACCCTCTTCTCAAGGGCCCCCAGGGCCTGAGGGTGGAGAAAGAGGAGTCCAGACATTTTTCTGTTGCCCTGGGAGGCAGAATACACAGCACGGTGGCTGAGAGCAGAGGGTTTCGAAAAGCAAGAGCCGGGCCCAAAGGCGAGCCCTGACATCACGAGCTCTGCAGCTTCAGCAGGCACCACACGCCCTTTGAGAACCAGTTTCTTCAGCTGTAAGAGCTGAGGTGGCAACTTCTGCAGGACTAAGGTGCTCAGCCAACACCTGCAAGTAGTAGGTGCCCAAACAACTATAGCCATTATACTTTAAATGATTCGTTCATTCATTGGACGAACATTTATTGAGCACTTACCCTATGTCGGGCTCAGCTCTGGCTCAGAAGACATGGGTAGGCCACTTCAACCAAGTCTCTGCCTTGCCGAGCTTATGTTCTGGTGGGAGGGAGAGAAAGTAAGCAGGCAACCCATTAGATAAATTTAGCCCAGGGTAAGTGCCCTGAAGGATATAACACAAGATGACAGGATAGAAGAGAAGCTGGGGGTGGAGAGCCCCACCTCAGCGAAGCTGGGTCAGGAAGCTTCTCTGAGGCACTTGAAGGAGAGCACGTTGGCCACTATGGGAAGATGAAGGGTAGTGTGTTCTAGGCAGAGGGAACAGCAAGTGCAAAGGCCCTGAGGTGGGCGTCTCAATCATCACGTGGAGAGGCGACAAAGAATATCTTATAAACCACAGCTAGCACCATGCATCCAGGTTCACAAGAGCTGGGGTCAATAGAGAAGGTTCTCGGACATTCCAAGTTTCTGAAGCCCAGAGCAGAGGGGGCAGACCAGCATCGAACACTCCCTAAAAGGTGGCTTCAGACTGCTTCGTTCACTGTACAAATGTTTACTGAGCATCCTCCCTGAAGCACACAGCAGGCTGGAAACTGGGAGATACAAATGGAAGTTGGGGTGGCTGCCACCTTCTCTGCCTGTCCCCCCTCTACCCCTGGCTCCAAGCCCAGGGTCTGGAAGAGAGAAAGTGCTCAGCATTTATTTGTTGAAGAGGCAACAAGGATAATAATATTGGTTAAGCTCTTACCAGCTCTTCTGCACATTGATCATATTAACCCGTCCAATCCTCACAACCGCTCTGGCACTAGGTACTCTTACTATCCCACTTTACAGAACGGGAAAGCGAAGATCAGAGTGATCAAGTGACTTGCCCACGATCACACAGCCAATAAGTGGCAGAGCCAGGATTCAAATGTGGACAGCCTGGTCCTAGGGTCCATGCCCTACACCAGCAGCAGGGGCCCGAGCAGCCTGGCTTGCCTGGAGTTGTTTGCATTTTAATGCTGAAAGTCCTGTGTCTTTGAAAAGCCCTCAAACCTGGGAACACCAGGACAGTGGGCCACTCCAGCAAGTATTGCCTTTCTGACAGAGCACACTGTTGGGAAATAAAACAGATTTTAATATGACGAGGCAAATACAAGAAATGCACGTGCGCCTACAGACTAGCAAAGAGCCGGGGCAATAAACTCTCTCTGGACAGAAAGGAAATTTCATGTAAGACTCCTAGGGGAGAGGACATCCAAGATGGGGTTTGAGGGCTGAATAGAAGCTTTTCCTGTTGGATAAGACATAGGGTGGCATTTTGGGCAGCGGAGGAAAGTCAGTGAAATGGTGTTGGGAGGGAATCCTAAACTAGTAGAGGTCATCGAAGGACAAAGTTTAAGGAAGGAAAAAGCAAGAGCAAAGACTCGGGAAATAACCGTCACGTCAGATCTCGGAGAGCTAGAGTCTGGATTTATCCCACGGTCAGTAAGGGGCCTTTAAAGGACTTGAAGCTGGAGAAGGACGGAGCAGATCTGCACTGGTGACCACTGGGCAGCTTTACGGAGGACCAGAAGGGCTGTGAGGCCACTTCGCACAGAGGCAAGTGGTCATGGGGGTCTGGCCTTGAGCAGCGGCTCTGAGATTAGAGAACTGAAGATGCCCCCATCGCTCCTTGAACGGGAATTGAAACCCTCAGCAGTGGCCCAAAGGTAAAGGAAATATTTAGAAACAAGGTCCCCGGAATCACGGGGAGTGGATATTCCACCTGATATCGGCTTGCTCCAGTCAACTGTGCCTTCTCTATATTTGAAGGACAGCATCATTCACTAAAACCAACTGTTCCCAGCTTACTTTATTCACTGAGTCACTCACTTATTCACTCAACGAACATCGTCTACTCTTTCCTAGGCACCGTACTAGGCATGGGCATTGAGGATCCACAGCAAAACAGATAGCCATGGTTCCTCCCCTCCTGTCACTCTCAGTCTAGCGGGGACACAGGTACTAAAGTCTCAAACACAATTAATCAAAGAATTCTGAGTTGTCAGAAACTATGAAGGAAATCAATAGAATACTAAGAGAAAGACTAGTCCCAATTTAAACTAGGGAATCAGGGACATCCTCCCCGACCTGAACAATGGTCAGCAGTTGCACCTAGTTAGGTGGCAGGTAGGCAGGTAAGCATTCCAGGTAGAGGGAGCTGGACGTGCAAAAGCCTTGAGGTGGGCAAACGCTTGGCACGTAATGGGAATTTCAAGACGTGCGTGGCTGGAGTAAAGTGATCGAGCTGGTGAGAGGCTTGAGATGAGCTGGAGAGGGGAGCAGGAGCCAGATGATTAAGGGCCATGGAGGCCTTCGTAAGGAGTTTGGATTTCATTCAAAGTGCAAAGGGAAAAGCCATTGGAGGGCTTAATTGGAAGAATAAATGGTCAAGTTCACATTTTACAAAGCTCTCTCTGGCTGCTGGACGCACAGTGGATTATAGATGAGCAAAAGGGGCTGCAGGGATGCAGGAGAGGAGGCAATTACCGTGGTCCAGGCATGAGACGATGCGAACCTGGACCCGGCTGATGAGTGTGGACACAGACAAGCGAGGGTGGTGGAGAAGTATCTGGGAGAAGGCAGAATCCACCTATTTTTAAAGCTGACTTTAAAAGGAAGGTCTTTACAAATGGCACCACCATCCACCCAGTTTCTTAAACCAGAAACTGAAAAGTTATCTTTTTCTTGAGAGGCAGCGCTCTGCTCATGGGGCATTAATCACTGCTCCTGTTTCCCCAATGGCCCTGATTTCTGATGGAAAAACAAACCATTTCCTACAGCAGTGATCTTCTTTCCTTCCTGTAATGGGTTGAATTTTGTCTCCCAAAAAGGTATATTCAAGTCCTAAACCACCGTCCCTATGCATGTGAATTCGTTTGGAAATAGGATATTTGCAGATGTAATCAAGATGGAAGATAAAACGGAGTTATGCTGGATTAGGGTGGGCCCTAAATCCAGCCACTGGGGGCCTTCTGAGAAGAGACATAGACACAGGGAAAATGGAACGTGACTCCAGGAGCAGAGAGGCATTTACAAGCCAAGGAATGGCAAGGATCGCCAGCACCCGCCAGAAGCCAGAAGAGACTACCCCTTCCCCTTCTGTCGGTTTGCAAACTGGCTGCCATATACGGAGGGCAAGGAGAGACAGAAGAAAGAGACAGAACCCTCCAGATTTCAAGGCGCAGGTGTAACAAGCAAGGGAACTTACCTCCCAGGCTTGTCTTGGGCGCTGCAAGGCGAGTGGATCTCCACGCCAACCCACTAGAATCTTACAAGTTGATACAGATGCCTTAACGGGGCTCAGTCACGTGTTCCGTCCAGATGTTCTCAAGAACACTTACTCTCTCAAGGCTGCGTCCTTGAAGCAGCTGCCACAGTGGGAACAGTGGGCAGAACACACATTCCAAGGACAGGGGAGGAAGTGAAGATCCTCTGACTGCCTGGGGCCAGCTCAAAGGTCCACCTCTGGGCACGTCCTCTCGATGAGCTCCTCCAACACCCTCCAGAGCTCATAAGGGGCGCCCCGTCTCCCTATCCTAAGTATAAAGACACCAAGGTGGAGAAAAGCTCTCAGTAGACATCTCTCTGTCTCGAAAGACAGCAGCAGGATACACCACAATAGTTGCTGCCACGAAGAGTCAGGGGCCTGCAAACTGCAGCCAGGTTCAGCCGGCTGTCGGTGTTTGTGAACAAAGCTTTCCCGGCACACAGCCGGGGGAGGCATTTAAGAGCACAAACTTGCAAGCAGCAGATAAGTAAGTCCTGGAGAACTAATGCACCGCCCAGCGATTACAGTCAACAATACTGTATCATAAACTCCCAAGTTGCTAAGAGACTAGATCTTAATTGTTCTAACCACAAAAAAGAAATAAAAACTGTATGAAGCGAGAGAGGTGTTCGCTAATGCTCAGGAGGTAATCACGTTGCAATACACAAATGTATCAAATCTACATGTTGTGCGCCTTAAACATACACTGTGTTATGTGTCAATTATATCTCAACAAAAAGAAAACTAAATAAACAGAAAGCTCTTTCTTTTCCCTCTCTCCTCCAGAGATAACCACTGTTAACAGTTTCTCATAGGGTCTTCAAATCATTTTCTACACATAAATATCCTTTAAATACACACATACACACACATGGTACCAAACCATACCTGCTGATATAAACTTGCATTTTTCACAGGCAATATGTCCTGGATGTTTTTCTATGTCAGCACACTGGGGTGACTTCATTGTTTTTAATCACTGCAAAGTATTCCATGGTAAGGAGGTACCATAATTTATTGCTGGACTTACAGTAGTTTCCAGCATTTTACTCTGCAAATGAATGCTACAGTGAACAACCGTATATGGATAAATCCTGATACATAGGATGGACTGGTTTTCTTCATGACCTTGATTCAACAGCTTTCAGACAAAACCTAATTTAACACCTGGTATAAGTCAGGCACTGTGTTAAGCTTATCCAGAGGTGACTAAACCATGGTCCCTACCCTGAAAGAGCTCACGGTGTCATCCAGTGATGATGTTGATGAGTTTAATGAGCATCTACTCTGGGCCATTCACAGAGTGATGATATTTACATGTACGATCCCAACCAATCTTCACAACAGAAGCACCTTATGAGGCAGGTACTATTATCAGCCCCACTTTATAGATGAGACTGAAGCTCAGAGAAGTTAAGTAACTTACCTGAGGTCACACAGCCAGCAAAAAGTGAGCTGAAATTCAAACCCAGGCTCTTAAGGAACCAGCCCACACTCAGGAGACAGGATTAAAATTAGCGCAAGTGGGAGTTCAGAGGAGGGAAAGAAAGACTCAATCAGGGAGATCAGAGAAGGCTCCAGGAAGAAGTGACAACTGAGTGGCACTGAAAAGAACACGCTTTTTCCAGTTCACAAGGAGGGAGAGAAAGCAAAGAGAACAGTACACACAAAGCCATGGGGCCGTGCAGGCATGGAATTTCTAGGAACCAAGGTGTGTAATTCAGCATGATTTGGGTGCAAAGTTAGGGAGATGAGGCTGGAGAGAGGCACGGAGGGATACGGACGGCTCCTCATCCCACTGGGGACTCAGAACTTTATCCTAAAAGTCGAGAAGAGCTGTTGAAGGGTTCTTAAAGCAGGAAAGTCAAGATCACAGCTGCATTTTCTAAAGAACATGCTGGCTGTAGCATGGAAGATGGATAGGGGCCGGGGGGAGAAGCAAGACCGACGAGGAGGCTGCCACAGTCAGCCAAGCCACACTCGAAGAGTTTGTCTTCTTGGGACCGGCTTTTGCCATGTCGTAAAAGACAGCAGGGTGGTCTCAAGGACAGGACACGCCAGTCCAGTGAGACCAGGAGCTCAGGGGCTCCTGAAAATGCCAAAGGCCAACCCAGCCCCTGTTTTTCCCCAGGATGTGACAGCTGATGGCTGACTGCCCAGTGGGGGAACATGACTTAGCCCTGGGCCATTTGACTCCACGTCCGGAAAGCTTCCGGCAGCCGAGAGATGTCCTCGGGTCGCCTCGTCCTGGTGAGAGGAGGACATCTTGAGCAGCAGCCCATCCACGTCCACCACCCCCTCAGCTGGCATCAAGAGGCTGTGGGCCTGCAGAGAGCCAAGCCACACGGCCGCCGCATCATGAGTCATCCCAGCTGATTCCGGCTATTTTCCCCCCGAGGCAGTGGAGCCGGCGGAAGTGTGTCCTGGCGAGGCCAGGCAGGAGGCCAGTGGCCAGCCTGCCAGGGGCTGCCAAGCGTGGCTCGGCCGACGGGCAGGACGGATGCCTGCAGCCACCCGGCTGACCTTGCGGAAGGCAGAGAGCCCCCTGGGAGGGCCTCGCTCACTTCCGAAAGGCGGAGCATCCAACAGATCTGGGTCTGAGACTGACGCCAAAGGCCACAGACCAGAGAAGGAGCATGGAGTGCAAGGGAGTGGCGTCAGGGGTTGAGGCTGGCGAGTAAAACAGCTCCCTATTTACCGAGCCCGGACTCCCGTCCAGAGCTGTGCTAAGCACTTTCCATCATCATCGCGTCTGCTAAAATACCCTATAGCTATGATTCTACTGAATCCACCAGGACAGGGGTCAGCCAGATCCGGCTTGTGGCTCGTCTCTGTATGGCCCACGACCTAAGAATGGTTTTTACATTTTTAAGGGGTTTTAGAAAAAATAAAGAAAATTATGTGATACAAACCATCTGTGGCTCATAAAACCTAAAATATTTACTGTCTGGCCCTTTGCTGAAAAAGTGTGCCAACTCCTGCACTAGAATGTGAGCCAAGGAGGGCAATTAGGGCATGTGTGTGTGTGTGTGTGTGTGCACGCGAGCACGCGTGCATGTCCCACGCCTATATTCCCCAGTGCCTAGAAGAGTTCTTAGCATGGAGTAAATGCTCAGTAAATACCTGTCACGCGAACGAATGAATGAATGAAGGAATGAATGAATTTTGATTATCACCCAATGACAGCGATACCGACATTAGCCCCATTTTACTGACGAGTAAACTGAGGCTCACAGTGGTGAAAAGACTTGCCTAAGTCATAAACCCGGCAAGTGCTTGGGCTGGGACTCCAACTCAGTTGGTTTGTAATTCAAGGCTTGGGGTTTTATCTGTAGCAGAAGAGTCCAGTATCCCAAGCCAGGACTGTGTCTGGTAGAGCCGTGCCTCTTAAAGTTTCTTCTGCACACAAATCACCTGGGACACCTGTTAAAATTCATGTGTCCCGACCCCGGGTTCCATAAATCCGAGTAGGTCTCAGGAGTTCGTGTAGGGAAAGAGGAGGGAAAATGAGGTGGCCACCAGAGGCAAGGGACGTTGGGGGAGGAATAGGAGGGAGGATAAGTTTCCGGCGTGTGGTGAGTCAGGTAACCCCTACCCCTCCTCTCCCTACAGCTTCTTCACAAATGATCCGTGTTTCGTAGGTAGCTGGTGGGGTGGCATATGGCCCCCGGACATGATCTGCTACATCTGGGTTACAGAAATAACACTGCAAAGAAGAGCTCTGTTCATACTTTGGGGGAAAATGGTTTGAGAGCTGGGGGTGGGAGAAGGGAGAACGAACGATTCCTGGTAGGGATACAATCATGTCGCGTGTGGAAATCCACGCTGCACGGGGCCAAAAGTCAGACACGCCTGCAACGGAGCCTGAGCAGTTCGGACCGGGAAGATCCCCACCGGGTGCAGAACTTTGCCTTTCTGAAGACCTTCGGAGGGGAACACCATCATGAGCCACACCCCCCAGTTAAAAGCCATTTGACTTCAGTTATTGTTTTTCTCTTGTTAAGTCACTTGATTTTTAAATCACCAACAGACTTTTTTTTAAGTCGTTCAGTCAACATAAGTATAATCATCACAGTTAAGCATCTCTTCTTTTCATGGCAAAAACAGTTAAGAGAAAGGAAAGGGAAGCTGGAAAAGAAAGAGAGCAGATTGGGGCAGAGGGCAGAGAAGCCGACAGAGAAAGGAAAGACAGCCCACCCCATGTAGAGCTGACACACAGCGAGACAGAGGGGGAGCGAGAAATCGGGGCGTGGGGAGCATCGGGAAAGCGCTTGGGCTTCGAGGCCACACAGAGCTGGTTCTACCACTGGCCAGCTCTGCGTCCTTGAGCCGGGTGTTTGTTTCACTGAGAGTGGAAGGAGAGAAGCCGAACCAGTAGGACACGTAGAGATATTGATGTAGTCGCAGATAACAGATGTAGACACAGATGTGGATGTGGATACAGATACGGAGTTAGATTTGGGGCGATCGAGAGGAGGCCGGCAGCCACAAGCACAGCTGAAGCCCATGTCAGCTCTATATTGCCTCTCACCTCGGTAACCTCACCACGCAGGTGAACACACACACACCTGCCCAGGAGAGGGAGACACTAAAGGAGCAGGTGCATGCCCAGGCACAGCCTCACACCAGAGGTGAGGCAGGAGATGAGCAACGAGGTGGGCCAGCTACACAACGGCTGCTGCTTCCCTCCTGCCCTCCACAGCTCCCACAGGCATCTCTTTCACAGCCCCTCCTACCCGGAAATTTGTAGGAAAGAGGATTCTGGGAAATGTAGTTCAGGTGAGCCGGTTCATCCATCACAGCACAAAGCCACCAGGGCGCTTAAAGACGCTTCTTTGGTTTTGAGCGCTTGGAGGAGAGGAAAGGAGTTCAGCTGTGCCTGCTTTCTTTATGAAATAGAAGAAAAATAGCACAAACTGCTAAAGGATGTTTTTAAAGCAGGCGAAATAATGCCTCTCATACAAATATAAACACACGTCGAAGATTTTATTTAACGCATTCATTAATGAGAGAACCAGAAATGAATTGCAACTGGTTCAAAGAAGGCAAGGAAGACACACATATAGGTTATCAGGATTCTGGAAACAAATTTGCTGAAGAGATGCAAGACTGGTCAGTGTCCACAGCACAACAGTCAATTGCGTTCATTTGTAGTTCTACAGACAAGATTTGCATTACTATTAGTTTTTCTGGAACTTACATAGTTGTAAAATAGCTCAAAGACAGTGAGAGGTGTAGATAACCTGGAAGAGCACACTAGATATGACACCCAGCTGTTTCCCTCATCTCATGTCTTTCGTAATTTTCCGGACACCAATACGAGCCAATATTTGTTAAGAGCTTACTAACAGCTCCAGGCATTAACTCGCATAAACCCACCTACATGCCATGATGTTGCACGGTCTGCAGTTTACAAGTGGGAAAACCAAGGTCCAGAGAGGTACAATAACTCGCCCAGGGTCACACAGCTGATAACCGTCAGAGCTGGGGTTCAAATCTGGCCGTCCCACTCCAGACATAAACGTTATGCTATATCACACCCAACTTGTGGTAAAAAGTTAAAGGATAAAGG